TGATTATAAATTATATTAAGAGCTTAAGCATATTTAAAAAAAAAATTTAAAAATAGGCAAAGTCGCCTGTTAAACGGGCGACTTAGGCGTTGACTAGAATAGTCACGATCCGACGTGGTGATGATGTGGCGACTTATAAGTCGTCAGTTTAACGGACGACTTATAAGTCGCCCGTTAAACGGGCGACTTTATGCTACTACTTTAATTCCCAAAATCCTTCCCGATCTCATTTCCTTCACTTTCCCCTTCTGCAGCCGTCGCCATAGGGAAGTTTGGAGTCGCCGATCTCGCCATCAAGCTCATAGGTAAGGTTTTATTTTTAGTATTTGCGGATTATTATGTTTAGTTGCTGATCTCGCCATCAGTGTTGTACAAATTTGGTTAAAAATGATCCTATTTGAGTCTTTTTAGTTTATTTATGAATTTTTTTTTGTAGATCTATTAGTTTGTCTCATTTTGCTAGAGTTAGTTATAATATTGTTTGACAGAAGTAGAGATAAGTTGATATAGAACATAGATTTTGTTAAAACTTGGTAGATCTAAATAATTTTTGTAAGAGCTAAATTGTAATGAAGTCTTTTTCATACTTGTAAAATTAAATGAATTTTAATTATATTTTAGCAGTCTTTAGAATAATTAAAATATTAAGTATTTTGTAATTTGTATTATAAATCATAGTACTTAAATTTTGCAATTCATTAAAACACGTTATTTTGATAACCTACTCTGTCACCTCACTCCACAAAACCTCCTTTATTAACATGCAAGGTTATAGACTCTCCTCAAACTTCTATGACAATCCATTTAACAAAAATTGCCGTCTAATCCGATATAAAAAATCTAACTAATTTAACATAAAAAATGCATAAAATAACTTCACATTACCTGATCCGGCGACGAACGGGCGGAGCAGCAAGCAGATCTCGAAATGGCGAAGAGGGAGAATGTCTGATCGGGAAAGGAAAAGGTGAATAAATAACTTAAGTCTAAGCTAAATGCACAAATCTTAAACAGATCTACAAAAAATTTCCACAAACAAAGAGATTCACCCAAAAAAAACTTGAGAAGTAGTTTGAAATTCATAAATCTTTCTTAATCTAACGAAAATACACAATAATCTACAAACAATTAACTAACTACACATAAAATGCATAAAAAATCCCTTACCTTTGCTAGATCCGGCGACAGACAGGAACCGCAAGCAACCTGGGGAAAAATGGGGGAGAAGTGGGAGAGAAGAAACAGATCGGGAAAGGGAAAGGTGTTGTATTTAACTCTAAGTCGCCCGGTTAACGGGCGACTTACAAGTCGCCTGGTTAACGGGCGACTTACGTTATTTTATTCAAACTGCCACATCATCTGCCACGTGGTCGTTGGGTTTAACCTAAGTCGCCTTTCAAACGAGCGACTTTGCCTATTTTTAAATTTTTTCTAAAACGTGCTTAATCTTACAGTTTAATTATTAATTATGCTTAGTACGAAAATTTCTTTAAAAAATAATCTATACTAAAACATTCACTAGTTTTTCAATAAGAAATTTTTTTTTATAATAAAAATGATTGAAATGTTTTTGAAATATAGCATGTCTCTCTCACATATTGAATTTCATTTTCTTATTTTTAATTATAAATTTATTTTTATGTTATTTTTCTTCTTTTTACAGATTTTAGAAAATTGTGATTTTTTCTGAATTAACTTGATTTATAAAAATCACAAAAAAATAAAAACAGTCACAAATATCTGATAAAAAAGTTTAAATTAGATCCTAATATATTTTCAAAAATTAAATTAGAAATCAAATGAGCTCAAAATATTGGTAAAAGTATCTCATTCATCGCAACGAGCATGATAATTTCTTGTATGTGCATGCTGCATGTAAGGAGGGGAGAAAGAGATCATTCTCATCATCCGAGCAAATATGTTCTATTTTTTTATTCTAAATTATCAATTTTAAGTTAATAAATATTTAATATTATTCTTCTCTTTTATTACTCTTATGAAAAATAAATAAAATATTCATGCTCAATTTTCCAAACTTTTTATACAAAAACTTTTCTAAGACATGGTAGAAAGGAAAAAAATCTTTTAAAATATAAGATGACTCTCTCTCTCTCTCCTAGGTGTGTCAATTTCAAGTCACGGGTCAGGTTTTGGGTCGAAGCCGAAACTGACCAGACACTATTTGGGTCAACCCAACCCCTTTTTGCAAACGGGTTGGTTTTTCAGACCCTAACCCGACCCACTTCGAGTCCATGTCAATCCGACGCAACCCAAATGACCAGGATCAACCAAATTTATTAGTTTTCGGGTCAAAAAATGGGTCAATCTTTGATTTTTGGGTCGAAAATGGGTCAATCTGGGGTTTCTAGGTCAAAAACTTATTTTCGGGTAAAAAACGGGTCAATTTCAGGTTTCCGGTTCAACCCGAATCCGACCCAATTTTTGAAACGAGTCGATTTGTTGAACCTGAACTCGACCTATTTCGGGTTCGGGTTGACCCTAACCCAGAATTTTCAGATCGGATTTGAGTCGAGTTTGTAGGCCGTGTCAAATATTGACACCTCTCTCTCTCATTATTTTGATAAATTTTAATAATATTATTTTTCTCAATTAACAAATTACTTTTAATTAACAAATATTTTTTATGCTATGCTTCTCCTTGTACTATACTTTAAAATAAAATAAAATAAGTCTTGTATAACATTTTATTATCATATTTCCATAATTTTTACAATAAGAATATTTTGGAATTTTCTTGATTAATAAATTTTTCTTGGTTTATCATAATTGTTAAAATTTTTTCATGAGCATAATTTTGAAAATCAAGCACATAACTGAAATGAATCCAAATTTACCCTACAAAAATCAAATCATATATCAAGTGAGCATAAAACCCTTATTTTCAAGTATACACATGGTATTTCGGAGAATAATAGTGACATGGGGATAAGAGAAAATCTAGTGAACCTTCATTGATCCTAAAGAAAGTTGTCATTTTTAGCAAATAATCTCTCTCTCTCTCTCTCTCTCTCTCTCTCTCTCTCTCTCTCTCTCTCTCTCTCATTAACCATGAATTGCACGAGAAATTATTGTGTGCGGAATCCAAATGCATTCGGATTCCAATCACCGCTTGCCACGTCAGCGGATGCACTCCGGGGCCCAATGCATCCAGTAACGTGGCGCATGGTGATTGGAATCCGAATGCATTCGGATTCCGCACACAATAATTTCTCGAAGCACACATGATGAATAGCCTTAGAAATTAGGGATACTAGTTGATGGAGGGGAACTAATGGTGACATCTTTATATTGTGGTTGGTGTGAAGATGTAGTATTAAAAACATGAGAAATGAATGGAGAAGATTGGTGAAGGTAGATAATGAGGGATTGTAGTGGAGACATGAGGGATGATATGGGATGAGACTATATTACAAAAATAAAGAAAATTAATAAAGCATGACTCTCACCAAAGGATTAAGCTAGCTGGATTCATTAAGCCTCCATCATTAACATTCAAGCCACCAAAAAAGGATTAATTAGGAACTTTTTCTTCTAAATTTAATTCAGCAAAAAGATCCTTCTTACAGTATATTTCAATATTTTTATGGCTACATCCAACACCTAACCACCTACATTGCTAATTAGGTATTCCCTTTGGTCCTATAGAGTCATCTAGGGGCATTATCATTTGTGAAAATTTTAATCATAGGAGGATGTAATTTGCAGTATTTATTGTTGAAAATTATAAGTAATGCTCTATTAAATTTTGAATTATAACTTATGTGCTCTCCAAAAATATTTAAATAAGCCTTAATTTTGTTTATTTGACGCATTGACAAGCACCCTAGACTTTCTTGAGAATTTTAGGGCACAAAAAATGACTTTAGAATTTTGTCGAATTATTGAAGAGGGAGCATTATAAAGATCCTTGAGAAATCAATCATGTATAGCTAATCATATTCTTGGAGAAATTTGAGTGAGGGAGCATCATTAAGATCCTTAAGAACTTTGGAACATAAAAAATTACATGAATCATTGGAGAACTATGGTTCTTTAAAGTCTTCCTAAATTCTTATGGAATTTCTATGAGACATCATCGCCTATTCCAAGGCCTTCACTACAATTCTTACACCACAATTATCTTCTACAAGACACATTTTATAACCTCATTTATACCACAATCATCTCCATCTAAATATATTTCATAACCTCATCTGCATCACAATCATCTCCCTCAAAATCTATGCCACCATTTTGTTAATTCCATAACCATCTACCTTAAGACTTAATCTCTTCTTCTTTTTTTTGTAAAGATCTATATAGTAACCCTACTTCTAATATCATCATTGTTGCTTCAACACCTAAGTTATGACATAATGATCACCATATATATCCCTCTCTTACGGCCTATGACGCAACCTTATTTGGATCGTAATTATTATCATTATAAGATACACCCTACATCCTCGCTTAGGCTTCATTTCCTTCCAAACTTATATCATAGTGTCTCTTATGTCACAAATATTTCATTCAAGGTCTATTCCATAACCTCTCTTATTTTGTAATCATAAGTGCATCTAAACATGCCTCGTAACTTTGCTTGCATTATAACTACGTCCAACTAAATCTGTGCCACAATAATCTCCGATGAGACCAATATCATAACCTTATTAAGATAAAACTATACCACCGCAATCATCTTTAACTTGGATTTCATTACAATCACCTCTAATTATAACATAGCCCCTACTATCATATTTACAACCAACACACATAAGGACCTCCCTTCTACCAACTTTTCACAACTAGTAGATAATATTGAACAATGTTAAACCTCATGACTTATCCCATCCAATTACTTTTTCATGTAAAAAAAAAGTATGCCTTATCCCATAAAAAAACTTGACATATAAAAATTTCATATTCGACAAAATTTTATACTAAAAAACTACTTTATAAAACAGTAAAAAAAATGTTCCAAATGAAAATAGAGGCAGCAATACTCTGAAGCAAAAATTATTTTTAAATAACCAAAGAGCCTTACTGTAAAACTGGCAAAGCATTACAAAGATTCAAGCTGGTGATATGATCCATATATATATCTTCACCTACAAAACTACAAACAGCCCTTCCTAAACATTGTGTGAATGACAACCATAAGGTTGACCCCACCGGATGTGCTGGCAACAAAATATTGGCTGTGACTATCTTGATATGGCCCACCTGACCAATAACAACCAATGATTTATTGCCACACAGACCGAAGGTCACAGCAGGCATAAACTTAGAGTGCAAAGAACAGTATGTTAAAACGTGGGAAAGGACATTATTATACAAAAGATAAGAATCCCTTTAATGGAACCCTAATGGAAAACCACTACTTACAGCCTTTGTTAGTCATCTAAAAGCTCCACAAGATGAGCCCTTCTCTCCGCTGCTTTCTTCCTTATAAAAATACCCCATCTCATAGCTGCCTTGATCTTGAGCCATCCAACAACAGCTTTGCCGGACGAGCGGTTGCGATCTTCATCGAAGCCGGAGAAGAGTGAAGGTGTATATGGTGGGAAGCCACAACCATCTTCCTGGAGATTAGTAGCAGCAGCTCCTCCCATGCTGAAGACTCGGAGCAGATGTTGCATGTCATCATTCTCCAAAATCTCATGGCTTCTCATCCGGATCTCATCCTCGGACAAGAAGTCATCAACACCGCGACTTACTTCTCGTGAATGTGGCGGCCAGTCGTCGAAAGAATTTACATTTAATGATTGTGAGGATTGATCTCCTGGCTGGTAAACTAAACTTGCAGGTTGAAGTGCGCCAATCTGGTGAGTCTGGTGAGAGGAGATATTGAATTGACTCTGAGCAGCAAATGAAGTGTTGTTGAACTGCATGTGATCATTTGGCTTGATCTGCTGGGTTTGAATTGAATATATGGTTGCTTGGTGCCCATTATAACCAGTGGCAACAGCCCCTCCTGAACAAAATTAGAATATCAAATTATCAAAAGATTCAGAAACAGATCTAAAGCTTATTTTAAAGCAGTTTTTTCACAATTCTATTTTCTGATAAGTTCAAGAATATAAAAGGTATAGCTGTGCTAAAGAAAGGATCCTATGCACCCTCTATAGTTCTTACCTCCAACAGCCATGGCTGTATCGATTGAAGGCTGGACAACTGCAACTGGAGCTGGCAAATGCTGCAGTGATACTTGTGAAACTGGTTGAGTAAACGAAGCTGGATTACTTGATGAAGCTGACAAAGTTTCACTATATACAGCCTTTTTGTTCTGCCTACAGTTCAAAAGGGCCTTGCCTTTATACTCTATAACGTGCATCCAATTATCATATGCCTTCTTTACCAACGTATCAGCAAAGACCTGCAAATATCAATATTATAGTTAGAAAGCTAGCTAAGGGTATGATAACCATGTCCCTGAATACTAACATAACCTAAAAATCTAGAGAAATTGATCTGGAATTATTATAAAAAATACTTTTGAGACTGGCAGGAAGTCAGAACTTAAGCATTTTGATTATAATTTCTATGAGAAATTAATCAATAAGCAAATCCAATAAATGTGTTTTGATAAATTATCATAGTATTTTTATAAATTTCTTAAGAGGCTCCAGGAACATGGGTCCTCTTTTCATACAATTTGCTCAAGTATATTAAATCAATCACAAAATATTGATAACTCGGAAATGAAATTAATACTTGACTAATGCTATTGAGCTTAATTACAACAACCAGAATTCTTTTTATCCAAACTGAACAGCTTGCCCATCACATGTGATCATCACATCCCATCAAATGATCCTTCCAATTGAGATGCCCAACATTAAATGCGAGTGGCATACATTTATTGATCACAATTCACAAATTAATCAACCAAGAATAAAACTTAAGCTAATCTACTATCATGCAAAAACATATTGTTGAAATCAGGAAGTTTGAGCAGAAAACTTAAATTTTCTTATACACAATAACAACAACAACAACATCAAACCTTTATCCCACTACGTGGGGTCGGCTACATGAATCATTTTTCTCCATTGTGTCCTATTAAAGATAAATTTTATTATACACAATGGTCCATATTTATAGATCTATACAAGATGCTTTAATAAGGAAATAAATAACTACAAAATAATGAAATATAATTCTTCCTAAATCAACTGCGCATCTATGAAAGGTGTTTAATATGATTAAGGCATGCTTCCCATGGAACTCTACTTGTAGCCATGGGACCAACATGAGAATGAAAGGCTGAGATTTAACACACAAAAAAAAAACTAATCCTCTTTGTTGCCCTCCTTTGAAGCATGTTTTATATAACTTGAAAAATCTTACCTTGAATTCAAAAAAATACCTAAAACCAGTAGTGGAGTTCTCGTAGAGGGCGGAACACTAGAAGCTCACCGACGTGAGGCGGCGCCGGAAGGAGAGGCGGCGGGAAGGGAGGTTGAGCGAAGCTAGGGCGTACGGACTTGCGGCTTGCAGAGCTTGCTTCATTCAGTTTGGGTAAGCGAAAAGAAGAAAGGGAAGAAGGGTTATTTCATTAAAAACTTAAGTGTGTGGTACCTGACTCCATGAGGCGTGCACCTCACCCAATATTGCGCAATTGAGCCTCTAAGGCGTGCCTCTTATTGAGCAATTTTAAACTATGTTGTTAGCCTTAAATAGGCTCCCATAATTCCCTCCCAAATCAACCCCCTTTCCCTAAATAAATCCCTCTCATATTTGAATTCATATTAGATTTATTTCCCTAATTAATTCCCTCCCAATTGTATTTAAAACTTTCATAAAAAATCCCCATTTAATTCCTCCTCTTTTTCCCTAAATAATTTTCTCTTATATTTTAAATTCAGATTAGATCTCTTACCCTAAATAATTTCCTCCCAACAAGGCTAGCTCTATAGCCTCTCCCAAATCACGAGGCCTCATCACTCTAACTGTCGCCTAAATTTCTGGTTTGAGCCCTTTCATATATTTCCCTCCAATACAGTCTTCGGAAGCCAACCTAGTCGGCTGGCTTGCTCAAATTTCTCATGGTACTCCACCATTGTTTCCTCCTACGTTAGAGCGAAAAACTACTCATAAAAATCCCCTCCACTGTTGGTTCGGAAACGTTCCAACAAGCAGTCCTTAAACTCTTTTCAGGTCTGCATTGGTCGCCTCGTATCCCTTCACCACTATCATGCCAACGCTTTCCCCTCCAAGCACATCCTGTTCATCGCCAATCTCTCCTCATTTGTCAATCTATTGACCGCAAAGTACATTTCCATCATATGTATCCATCAATATGCATCCTCTCCTTCAAAAATAGGTCTTTTCAACTTCCTCACCCTCAAATCCCCTTCGTTCCCCATATTTCCTTCCTAATTTCTCATTCCCAAAGGAGTTGGTTCCCCCTAGGTGTCACAATCAACCCTTCTACACTCGCATTCAAACCTTTCGTCAAATTTCCACCTTCTTCTTTCAAATTCAGCACCCATTGGATCATAATCAACCCATCTCCATTCAAATTCAGCGCCCTTCAATCATAATTTGCCCCTCGCCTTTAAAATTCGGCACCCATTTGATCATAATTAGCCCCTTATCTTTTAAATTTTGCTTCTCTCCTCTCAAATTTAGCACCCCTTCTTACATGCCTGACCTCCTCACAGCTCTCCCCATAAGAATAGGCTCTAAGGAATAGGCTCCAAGGAAGGCATTATCTCTTTCTCCCCATAATCAGCCCCTTCTCAACTCCTTAGAAATAGGCTCTAAGGAAGGCATTATCTCTTCTCCCTTCAAAATCTTCACCTCTTAATTTTTTTTTAAATAATCTTCACATCTTAATCTTCCCTACCCCTTATCGAATTAGGGTTTTCTCCACTTCCTTGGTTTTTGATGGCTTCCCTCGCCTCCAACAACACTATTTTGGGTTGGCACTTGAGCAACCTCTTCAACATCTCCTCCAAGATGGTAAATTTTTCCATCAATCTTATCGTGGACTGCTAAAATTTGAATTTTAAAATCTGAAAGTTAAGTTTGGATGTCAAAAATTTCATATTTCAACTGTCTGATCTCACCTTCCAATACTTCTATCTTTCTTCCTGCCATAGGTATTCAGATTTAAGCTCCACTAGCAAAAAACCGCAACTTTGATCTGAATATGGCCTCCAAACAACAAAAAACAGCAAGATCGGAGAGGAAACACAGTCGAAAACAATGAGAAAGACTTATATTTCAACCCAGAAAACTGCTCTGATACAAATTTGATAGGAAGTGCTTGTAGAAGTTTAAGAAAAGCCTTGGTTTAAATCTGATTTCAACAAGTTTAGAAAACCGACAATAAGAAAATCAGGAATATAACACACAAGAACACTTTTTTATTGAAAGTTTTATGAAAGAAAATACAAGATACAAGTGGATTTTCAATTGGAGAGGAAAATCCGGCTCTCACAAATCTCTAGCCACTGTCTAGAGCCCAAATACCCTAAGAACAATCTAATTTCAAAAAACAAAAGCATAACCCTAACCCTAGGAAAAGCCCCCAACTTTAAAGCATACAATAAACGACAAATACCCAAACAAACCTTCCCAATTCCCTCCCAAATCAGCCATACTTTCTAAATTATTTTCCACCCAAATCAGCTCTCAATTCAGCCCCCAAATCTTCTCTCTTCAATTAGAAAATATTTCCTAATTAATCCTCTCCAAATCAGCTCCAAATCTGCCCTCTTCAATTAGGAAATGTTTTCTAAATAATTCCCTCCAAATCAGCCCCAAAATTTTTCCTATTCAATTAGAAAATATTTCCAAATTAATCCCCTCCAAATCAATCCCCAAATTAGTCCCCCAAATATACCTTCTTCAATTAAAAAATATTTCTTAATTAATCCCCTCAAAATCAATCCCCAAGAGCCGGTCCAAGAAAGAACCGACAGGACCAATCAAAGAGGAACTTGGTCTAACAGAAATTTCATAATTCCCTCCCAATAAAATCGACCGGTCCATCAATTTCCTCCTTAAAATGTATATTATCTAGTGGTGGATCTTCTATCCACTAGTAATCCTACATAGTATACATCAATATATCCTTCAATTTATAAAATATCTAACTTTTTATATAAAATTCCTTTATTAGGACTTGATTTAAGATACAAAAATATTCTATAAGTATCTTGTAGGTGAGACTCTTTAAATTTGCGTATGATTGACTGAGGTGATTCAATGCAAATATGATGTTTGGACAATGTGAGATAGATGAACCATTTTTACGATAGATCTTTGATGTTGTGTCATATGTCTACTTCTATTACTTCTTCATTTGCATCCAATTTTTAACCTGATTCAAATGAGGTTTCACAAGGTTTGCAATCAACCTTTTCAATATATTCATGGCATATTTTTATTGAAAGAAGAATATTTCTTATTCTAATCGAGTAATTTTAATTCTCAAGGAATATTTTGTTTGTCCAACTCTTTAATCTCAAATTCTTCAGCAAGTTATTTCCTGAGAAACTTTGTTTCTCTCTTATCATCACATGTAACAATTCTATCATCAATATATATAATAAGAATTGAGATTTAAGCATCAATAGAGTTTTTTATAAAAAGGGTAAAATCTCCTTAGCTTTTTTGCTTCTCTAATGACTTTTATGAATCCATCAAAGTATGCTCTCGACGATTGTTTAAGGTCATATAATGCTTTTTTTAAGGTCAAGTGATGGATCAATATAAACTTCTTCAATATCCCTAAGTAGGAAAACATATTTTACTTCTCCATGGATTTTTCATGATTAGCTGCAAGAGAAATTAAAATATATATTGAATTTATTTTTACAACAGAAGCAAAAATATCTTCAATAATTAATTCTACAAAATTTGAATATAACATTTAGCTATCAATCTTATTTTATACAATTTTAGGTTTTCCCTACTGCTTTATATTTATAGATAAAAATCTACTCATATCCTATTAGTTTTTTTCTCTTCTAATAGTTCAATGATCTCTCAAGTGTGATTTTTTTAGAGCACTAATTTCTTCTTTCATGGCATCCTTTCAATTCTTATTTTAAAGTACCTAAAATAAAATTTATAGTACAACAACAACAACAACAACAACATCAAGCCTTTATCCCACTACGTGGGGTCGGCTACATGAATCCTTTTTTCTCCATTGTGTCCTATTAAAAGTCAGATTCTCGTTTAAATCTAATAAAGAAATATCATTTCTAATATTTTCTAACCAAGTCTCTAAGGCGACTCTCTCTAATCTTATCTTCTACTGGAGCTACTCCAACCTTTTCACGTATATGCTCATTTCATATCCTATCTCTAAGGGTAAAGCCACTCATCCACCTGAGCATCCTCATCTTTGCCACACTT